CTTATAAGGAATAGAACCGGTGTTTAAAGTCCACCGGTGGCACAGCTTTCACCAATTTAAAATCAGATTACGACCCGCCCCGGCTTCTAATCGCTCGTCAGGCCCCCCTTTCGTACACCCCGGCCGGGAATTGCGCGCGCGCGGCAATTGATCCGTCGATTACGCAACCGACGATACGTAACCCGACGTCGTTACCCAGGACGGGCAACGAGAGTACACGTCCCTGTTTAAACCGATCGAAATGACAGCGCGCCACTCTTAATTGACCGGGTCCTTTAACTGTAAATTTCATTATACACCGAGCATCACGGATTCCGACGTCGGTACAGTGTGTCGAGTAATAGGTATGGGTCAGAGTTAGGCAGAATTTCGTTCGAATAATACACAGTGAAAAGCAGCAGTATCTAAGTGTGTCATTCTGAGCTTTAAACAGTCAATGAGATTAAATAATTGTTTCCCAAGTATCTATTCATTCAAAAACTATTACTTTATTATAAAAATTGTAATTTCCAGGTTTAATTGATTAAAAATGACAAAGTATTTATTTTTTTTACCTTCTACTCCTTATCGACAAATATCGATTCATTCATAATGAAGAATTTTATTATAAAAATTGACATTTCCACGTTTAAACAATTAAAAATGACAAAATACTTTTTCTAGTTTATTCATTGTTTAAAATTTTTTATCTAGATAATGAGCTTGCTAATCTCTGGTATGTTCAGGGAACTGTTTTCTGGAACTTTTGGCTGAGATCGATAATACAAAAAGATCTGAGGAAAATAACAACGCTCGCGACCACTCTTCCATGGTTAGCCCTTTGTGGTCCAAAGTATTCTTGGTATTCTCTCTCAATCTTGCATAAATACCGTATAATTTAACTACGTATTAATTGATTTGATAATATATCCCTAAAATAACAAATACTAAGATAGTCTGTACGTACGATGCAGATGGAATGCAGTAAACCATCGACGAGTGTTCGAAGGCTCCTCGGAACTGAAAATTAAATATTCCACAAACTAATAGCCACACGCGGCTGAAATAAGTAACATCGGCATCAGAATTCCACGCTCTATCATTCTGCTAAACCTAATTAAAAAGTCATCGTTACAGCTGGAGACCCCTATTTGCCACTACCAAGGAGCCTTTCGAACATTCATCGAGGCTTTACTGTATTACAAAATATACCAGAGACTACTAGAATACGTAGTAATTACGCTAAAACTAAATATAAAATCAATCTCGACACAAGGTCGCAAGAAGTTAATAATAAATCGATGTAAGTTTTTTGACAAACAAAAGAAATTCATTTCTGACCATTTCAGCCACTAAATTTCGATTCTGGACCACGAAACGCCCTAAGAAGTCACTGACACACGCGGGGCGCAGCTCGAGGAGATTTAGGTTCCCGGTGGAAATTTCACAGTGATTTATTCAGCCTCATGGCACGAGAGATTTTTCATTGCCCAGGCATCCACCGCCGCCGCATTGTGGTCGACTAATACCGCTACAGCCCGTTAACCTTCTGAAGGTAGAACGGAGGTGTGGCACACCCCCGGTCTCTGTCCCGTAAACACGAGGTATATAAGATACAACAATGCCCCCCCCCCATCCTCCCCCCGCAGATGGAAGATTGCATGGAAAAGGTGCAACGTTCACGTGCAAAGGTCACCACACGCGGTTGAATCGAGTAAACGAGGATAATGTCGCCCTGGTCTGGGCTCTGTAACAGATTGAATTTTATCGTCGCGAGAGCGAAGACTCGTCGTAATCGTCTTTATACGCGTGACGGGGCGAGACATACGAATGTCTTGGTTGCTGTTTGAAAGAAATAAAATTCGCGACTCGACAGTCTGACACGTGGAATATCCTATTCTTTCTAAGAAACATTCATATCTGGATGGCAGGTTATATTGGGTTGAATGAAATGTTCGTGCGTCTCTTCGGTGAGATGTCACTTATCGCAAAAATTTTACGAAGATTGTATTTAAAAAATCGTGGAACGGTGGGAAAGCGTGATAATGGAAATTAGGATATTATTAAAGAACAAAAATACAATGGGATTTGTTTAGAATAGAAACACACGAACTTTCCGTTCAATCCAATAATTATTACAGAATTTGCTAAAAGCGTGAAAGGGGCAAGTTATTATCGGAGAGAAATGATTTATTTCGAGAATTAATTAACGAAGAAACTCTGTCTCAGCAGAAACTTGAATTCGCGCCACGAATCGAGATTTATGGAGAAAGAATATCATTAATCGTTTGATAATTGCGTGAAGGAGTGTACCTTCGCGTATTAGATGACGATACACACCACACACACACACACACACACACACACACACACACACATACACACACACGTTCAAAGAGCCGTCGCGCCGATTTGTTCTCGTTGAATAATACTCAAGGTACCGTTGTATTATACGATAATCCCTTCCATTACTCTTACTACACTGCGTTCTTAATTTAATGTAACAGGTGTGGTCGTTCCGCCCGTCGTGTTGAGGTGACGAACCCAAGGTTACCATGGTAACGAAAATATATTCGCAAAGAGATATGTTCAACGAGAGATAATAAATAAATTAATTAAACGAATATAAATAAATAATACTCAAACAGGCCTATAAACGAAGCCCGTGGCAAGCAGGCGAACCAAGTTTGCGCGCTGCGTAATTTATAAGGAAAATAATAGAACCCTCTCTTCCTTTCTCTCTCTTTCTCCATACCTTTCTTTTTATTTTAACAACAAAGGATATTAAAACGAATGTTTAAAAGAGTCTCAACTATGTATATAGGAAACGTATGTGTTGGCCTATCCAGTACAAAACCAGATCGTTATAATATTATAGATCACGGATTATTGTGTTATGTGAATAATTTACATTTTATGTTGTTAACATGTTTCTATACGTATACAGATACAGACAGATATATATGTACGAATATATATATATGTATACGCATACATGTAATAGATATATGTATGCATGTAATGTTAACACAGCCCCCGCCCTTCTCCCCCTTTCTTTTTTACATCTGCCCTACAACCCCTCACCACCATCAATTCTGTCTTCCTTGTACTCTCTTTCGTATTTTTACTTTCTTCGCTCTTTCTCTCTACACTACCTTCTTAAATCTGTCTACCTGTTTGCTCTCACCCCACGCAGCTGGAGAAGACTACTTGTAGAGGATCGTTTTTGTTTTGTACTTAAGCGCGCGCCCGTACGCGCCCGAACTATGTTTTGTACCACGTGCAGAATGGCAATAAAGTAGTTGACCAATTCCTTTTTTTAATACCCACGTTGTATGAGTATACCTGCATATCCTTCTCTCAATACCACCGTTGAATCCCACTCGTCCCCGATTCCTACGCGTTTTGTAGAATTTTTTTGGAAAATTTGAAGCAAAATAGTTTTAAAGTTTTCACTGAGAATATTATGTTATCGAAGATTGTAAAAAGAATCAGTATCAAAAGTAACGGTAATAGTTACTATGAAGTATTATTCAAGTTATTGTTATTACTTTTGTTTATAGGAACTGAAGTATACCTTTAATTTTGTTAGTGTAATAAAGAAAGATTCAGTTTATTTAGATTGTCAGTTTGTCCACATAAATGAAATGACTAATTTGAAAAATTGTTATACAGTATAGAAAATAACTTTCTAACTTGAGGTGTTTTAAATTTTTGATTTTTTATAAAATTTGGGTGATTGTATTTTTGTGACTGTTTCAAACAACAGTCTCAATTCGTACTCTTACGGATGTTCGCACGTTTACATTAAATGTGTACATGAAACTACAAACAAAGAAGGCATTATTTGCTATTGTTTAAATAAATGAAAGATGCCTGAATAGGGGGATGCTATCGTTTCACAACTTGTTATGTTATTGAAAGATCAGTCAAGATTTGAACCCAGTAATCGTGAATTATCACGTATTAATGTTTCGATAATAAATACGATTACGAGTGACAGTTGTATAAAACTCATTAGCCTATCAATTTGGATCAATTACTGCCTTAGAAGCTTGAAAATGATTATTTTAGAGCTACTTAAATTCTTCACTTCAGATTTAAACGATTTTTTTTATCTCTAGTTATTCGTTGTCACATATATAATTAATAGAACGTGACCTGTTAATGAAGTAAATGTAATGAACTTGTCGAATCATCACGAATTTCACGAAATTGTAATTTCCACTACACACAAGGCGATGATCCACGGATTAAATGTAAAACAGTACACTTAACAAAAAAGAACACACAATTATTCGAACAAAATGTGAAACAGTTGACAAATGCAGTTAGTGATATTAGTAATAATAGATATTAGTGACTTTCATGCAACTGATATCAAAAGCAGTGTCCATGACCGCTGAACAAGAACTGATGTTTATTTACCTGAATCGTCCCACCAATCGGTTGGGTTTCCCCCTCCTCCTATTTTTTCATATTTCAGTACACTTGAAGACTTCTATTATGTACCAATGAATTATGAGGATGGACATAGGTATAGTATTTTTACCTCCAGATAATAAGACTCGAGTAAGTTTCGTTTTAATTTAATCTTTCGTAAAAAGTATATTATTGTATTCTCATAAATACGAGTAAACATAATATTACCAAAGAAAAAGGCACGCATACATCTTTAACCCGCTAACTGCATTCATCCATTACAGCAGACACGTACTTTATCACATCAATGACAATATCTGGAACATTTCTTGACGATCGGCAGTACGAAACTCCTTCAAATGACAACCAAACATTAGAACAGTGATACTATGACTACTACTGTTCGTTATTTACCACGAACGAAGATATTATTTATGAAAAAAAAAAACATTTTTAAAAACATATCAAATGGTCTTAAAATGACTGTTGGTTCTTGATTTTGTGATAAAAGAATGTTTCTACAAGATACCAAGATGCAGTGAGCGGGTTAATGCGATAAACAGAAGTTATATTCTGGGAGAGAAATCGCTTTCCACGTATGACATTTCTTAAAATAATTTATTCACCAATATGAACAAGTAGATTGTGTAGCAGGTTGTCGATGACGATCATAAGCGCAGAACTGACAGACACACACGTAATCGGATCGTGTTTGACCGACACACACCTTCATAAATGCTTCTCGCTCATGTATCACATAGTGCGTACACTAAATATATCAGAGATTCTTGCGTGTTCCCGTGTATAGATAGTGTTCTCAGTGGTTTTAAACACCGAGGGCCAAGCAAACGCACTCCATTCACGCCACAATAAATTCTGTCGATAGAGTTCAAGAGAAAAAACTATTCTCGGTTGTTGTTCCTGGTCAATTTCCGATCAGAATAGCTTTTTTTTTTATTTTCAACATTTAAAATAAAGTCACTCTCGTCATCCCTTCATAAACATCGTGCGGATAAATACTTTCCAATAATATATTACACTTCCGTTAACTAAAAAAGATTCGTATCATCCTATAACAGACCAGGTAAAATTTCAATTATCATCCGTTCGTAACGTAATTATGATTTACACGAGTGTGGCCAGATTCATATGATTTGCGATTGTGTGACTAAAAATTGACCAATGGCGGCCACAGTCGTTGTACGACGTAAATTAAGCGTACAGTTCAAGGAAGGTGAATTTTATTGTAGTTCGGCCGACCGAGGTCGGGACCATCGCGCGTAATCGGAAGAAATTACATCGCTGATCGAAAATACCAATGAATTTTCTTCTTACTATATTCTAAAAGTGTCGAATTGTTTCGTTGACCGTAGAAGCTATACTCGAGTTTACGAGTTTCGATTGACCCAGAAAATTGAAAATCTTGGGTACACTATTGTTTAGTTCGTATAGACAATAACTGATGAGTTAGCTTAACGCTTTCGTCTACGATTTAAGTTCCGACGAGGCGCGCCACAATCAACGCCTTGGCGGTTACGCGCCGAGCCATTTGACGCTTCGGACGTGCGCTCAAAGTTGTGCAAATCGCACACGTCTTGTAATATGTAAATACATGTGTAAGGTACAACTGGTTTAATTTTTTGTAGGATCTTAGATAAGTAATTACGAACGATTCAGCAGTAAACAAGAAGATCGATATTGTAGGCGAAAGGGTTAACCCTTTGATTCAATTTTAAACTATCCTCGACCTCAAGTTAACACAAAAGTGTTTTGCTTTTTACAGATAACTAAAGGCTAACTTCATACCACATTGCATTGCATAGGTCTATGATTTTATGCGACAATTTAGACTCTCGATGACTGCGTAACACTTAGCAACCGATTACCGCCGTACCAAAGGGTTAAAGGCAGGTATTAGATGCCCCACAATTTGATGGGGGTAAAAAATAGGTAACCAAAATTACGTTCGTAGGCCAAACACCGTCAACTCGAGTATAACAGTGAACAGTACTGAATTAAAATTTCGGTCATTTTCTCCATTACATTTCTTCCATTTCCGGTCCACGCTTTTTGATTCTGCCTATTGGTACCAGACCAGCTTGGCCAAACTGTGCCTGACATTTAAAATAGTTACAACAAAAATCGATGACGTATCGACACGAGACAGGACAGTAACGTAGAAGCACAAGTCTTATCGAAGAGTATTGCGACCGTTCCCACAGGAATATGCATCGTCCTCGAAACAGGGATCCCGGATATTCCGTGAGGATGGTCGAAGGGCGAAACACCACCTAATAAAGTATCTATCAAAAAAAGCGCGTGCCTTACTTTCACGTAATCGACGGTGCGGAGAAAACAGGTTGCAACGCAAAAAAGAAATCCATTAAGGTACGTATCCAACGATATATTATTAAGCGTTATAAAAACTGCTATAGTGCAAATTAAGTTCGATAAAATAAGGAATCAATCGCCATCTTCTTGTGTAACACGACGGCCTGACTGAAAATGCAACACCGCCCGCAACGCTTTGAGCCTGCGAACAAAGAAAAAATAGAAAACGAACAAGAAACGAACACGCCGCGATTACGTGTCAGTCGAACTGACACGAAAGATCCTGCATCTTATAAATGAAAAACCAACAGAATATATCAAAACAAATCGAACAAAAATATAAACCTTGTATCAGGGAAATTCAACGACAATTAAAAATCGGTTTTAGATACATCGATGAGCAAAAGCAATGAAATCCTCTTTCAAGAGGACACAGAAGGACGGGTAGCGGCACGACAGGTCGCGGTATACAGTGAAATTTCAACTGCGTCTGGGTGGTGCTGTTGAAATGGACATTTTCTGACGCACACACAGATTATCGTTTGTACCACGGGCCTTGAACCGAGTCTCGCTCGAAGCGAACGCGAAGCGTGGTTCCCGCCACTATCTTTCTATCACCTCGGCCGACCTTTCCTGATATACGGAATCATCGATTGTACACGAGTATATCGCTTTAGCCCTGATTAATAACAATGATGCGGTAGAAAGTGATTACAGGTAGCATAAGATGCGAAACAAACACCTGGGCGTCACACACGGGGTTTCGACGCGTCAGCATGTTACGCAGAGAAGAGGCGCGGATATCGATGCAGATTCGAGGGTCGGCTCTAAGAGAGGAGCTTGTCTTCGGGAATGGTCGGGCTGGTCGCTGACGGTGCGGCGGACGCGCGTCTCGCCGCCTCAGTCTCTCGAAGAGATCTGAAAGTGGTACACATCTTCTCTTAGCGTATAGTTTCGAATTAATTCTTACAACATTTTACCAGAGTATTAATCGATGTTACAGGGCGTTCTACTAGGTCTAAGACGTCTAACGTCAGCCTTTGTTAGCAATAGCGGCTCTTATGTTTTAACCCTTTTGCAAGGGCATTAACAAGGAGAAATAAGGTTACAGGAGCCTAAGACGTCCAAATCAGCTTTTGCTAGCAAGAGCAGATCTTCTGTCATAACTGTTTCGCGAGTGCATTGATAGAGAGAAATAAAGTTACAGGCCTTTGTATCAAGTCTGGAACGTTTCACGTCAGCTTTTGCTAACAATAGCGGATGTCATTAACCTTTTCGCTAGGGTATTGATAGGGAGAAAAATGGTTACAGGACGTTCTCTGGGTTTTCTGAGACACCCAACGTCAGATTGTGCTAGCAATAGCGGATCTTGTGTCTTAACCTTTTCGATAGAGTATTGACGGAGAGATATAAGGTTACTGGCTGTTCTGCTAGGTCTAAGACGTCCAAATCATCTTTTGCTAGAAATAGCAGATCTTGTGTGTTAACCTTATCGCTAGGGTATTGATAGAAAGAAATATGGTTACAGGACGTTCTCTAGGTTTTCTGTGACATCCAACGTCAGATTGTGCTAGCAATGTCGGATCTTGTGTCTTAACCTTTTCGATAGAGTATTGACAGAGAGATATAAGAATAGTAGCCATTCTGCTAGGTCTGAGACGTCCAACATTTGCTTTTGCTAGCAATAGCAACTCTCGTGTCTCGCGAGCGACACGAAAAGCTAAAGCACAAAGTCTATTCTCTGTAACGACACATTGTTCCGTCTGAAAATTGTTACAGTTGATGGACAAGATGCAGCAAACTCAAGCAACAATTTTTTTTGGCTAACTGCATAGATCTTGTGTACAGATTGGGGCAACGGTATTGCAGAATATTGGTATGACGATAGAAAGCGTTTCTATCCTAATTGAAGTACTAATTGATCTCACTGTATAATATATTCTTCCTTGTTCATTGCGCTGACAGTAGGGGTTTGCGGGCGGTTACCCGAAATTTTAGGCTTGGTCGCGCTCGTGTTTCCACCTATTATTCGCGGTACTGGACTTCTTCCGATCCGAGCCGAAGTGTCAGACTGCTGAAATATATGTTACGGACGCCTGACCAATCCCGAAATCTCGGGTACCCGTACAACCCTAGCTGATTCCCTAAACTACAACAGAATGTCAGGCCTGAGCCAAGGTCTAGAGTTTGACCTAATTAGATCTGACTTCATGGTCACGGAATGGCTATTTATCGTATATGAGTACGTTATATCTTGTCCACCGACTATATTCTTCATGAATTGACTCGCTTGGTAGCTTCTCGGCCAAGAGCACACTGGGAGCAACACATAAGAACGACGATTTGGACGTCTATGTGATAGGATGTTTCAGGAAACACTGCACAGCTTTAGGCACCCTGTTTTCATTCTTCGTTGTGAATATCACAGAAGTAGCTTTGATTGTAGAGCGATGACAGTAGACGATAAATTACGATGAAATATAATTTGACGATTCAAGTTATTTTTTCTGATACTCGTGACTAACAGTATTTTCTGATGCCTCTTAATGCTACATTCCCTATACAATTCCCTTACATCGATATTAAAAAAACTCAATTTAAGAAGTTAAACGCAATAATTTAAGGGTAATCTAGAAAGCGAATATTTGAAAAAATAATTATGAATAGGAGAAAAAGCTGCCAAGTCCACGAAATTATATAAAGAAACCCAAGGGTTTTTATTGGGAAAAAAAACTGATCTCACGACAATCGATATTTTCGAAATGTTCAAGAGGGTGACAAAAACAGGTGACACAGAATTGATTGGGAACTTTAAAATTGCTCCCCTCTAAAAAACAAAACGGAAAATTGGACTTGTCATGTTTTTCCCTTGTGATCTTCGATCACGAGTACCTTCATGTTCTCGTAAGCAGAACCGACGCGTTCCTCCAGCGAACGGAAGCTGTCGGAATTACGCATCTGACCCAGCTTCATCGACAATCCGCTCCCGAACCCACCGAGAATACTGGTCGTCTTCTCAGCCGTGGTTTTGATGACAGACTCCGTCTTCTGGAATCTGCGTAACGAGGAGAAACGATAAACATTCCATTTTCATGCGACAGACCATCCTGTCCGGGCAGCAGGGTCACGTTCTCTCGTGGTCGCTGATCTCAGGACCACGAGAATGAATCGAAGCAGAGATGGTAAATTGGTCATACATTCTCTTGCACACTCTCCCATGTTAGTCACAGCTTTCCACGTGTGTTCCTCGTTGTTAGATCAAGCTGATGTTTCTGTGATTATTTCGCGCGGCAAGCATGGAAAACGATGGTGCGTAGGTCGCGACTCGAGGTCGATGCATCAGTTTTTTCTTTTTTACCGTGAATGTGGAACGCTTGAAGATTCTGATCCCGGTTAACTCCTCCTTGCAGCGTATTATTCAAGCGTTTTCGAGCGGGTGCGACCAAGCGGAGGAAAGGGTGACAACACGCGTGAAAAAACGGTGATCCAAAATTTCTTTTTCGAATGAAATGTAGACAAAACACGATGACAAATTCGATTTTATCGGGTTCAGCGGTGATTGGCCGCGCGGAGAAATGTTGGATCCGCCAGGAAAGCACAACGGTTTTTTGCGTACTTACAAAGTGTTCTCGGAGACTGCCTTGGTGATCTGACCGAGTTTCTCTCCGACGTTTTGATAACTGAATGAGAACCCAACCAAAAGTCAAAGAAAAGTGTGTGTTCTACATGTCTGAGGGGCAGAAGTAGCAGAAAATAAACAAATTCGGTTATGAGGCGATCGGTACCCGTCACCACACGTGGTAAACAAAATTAGGAAATTTAATGGTAAAAATATGCAGTGGTTGTTGAGTGTTGAGCATGCATTTCGTTCCTCATGATTATAAAATCAGAATGATCGATAATGAGAACGTTAAAGTAAATTCTGTGGTCGAATAACGAATAATAAAGAGATCTAGAATGTTTTTGTAGACACGTTTACTTACGACACACAGAAACTGGAGATTGTTACGTGCACGAATAAATTGCATTACGTGTATAATCGAATTTGGAAAACCTCGATGTGTCTTTGTGGTGGCAAAAAGCTTATCTAGCAATTATTCTAACCCGCTCGATTGCTCGCGTGTTGCATTCGTAACTTGTACTTGGAGTCTCGGGCAGTAGCTGTTAATCGAGGACAGAATTTCAAAATACAAATACGGGGCCCGTTAAATACTCGTAAAATGAAGACAAAAAATGATATTTATAAGAATTTTATGTGTATTATATAAAGTGATGCAGAAGAAGCTGAATTTATATCTACGTGAATTTTTGGAGCAAATTATCATACTTAAAATGCATCAAATGAAAAACTATGTATGTAAAAGCAAGCAAATTGATGAAACAACAATAAAATGTCAAGCTTCTTATAATTGAATTTTTATAAAAGAAATGTCTACTTATTTCCCTAACAAAGAACAATATGACAATGCTTTACATTATAATTAAAAAAAAAGATTGTGATTACATACAAAGACAGTTTTAGCAAAAACAAGTGGCACAATCATTTTAAATTATATACCACTGTACTTTACTGCTATGACAAATTATTGGACCAATTTTTACTAGGAATGTTTATCTAATTTATTGAAAACTCTGTCTCGAAAACGAAATATCTATTTTAATTTCATGAAAGTAATACTAACCCAGAAATTGCATACATATTAACACGTTGACTGTCACAGTGAAAAAGGCCGTACGTAGCCAGACACTCTTTATTTCGTTTTTTAAGTCATAAATTGTCGAAGATATTTGAGTTTAGTTAATAGAGGCTGTAGATCTTGTTTTAAATTATACTGTGATATTAATTTCATACAAACATTTTACAACAGTGTTTAAATAATCCAGATACTTTTCAATGTACGTGTCACCCATATTTGGGTGACGTGGCAGTCAAAGTGTTAACTGACGTCGATTCAAATTACAAGCATCTAACGAATAAGAGATTTACGTAAAAGAATTTAACACTAAAACTACCAAACCCGTCAAAGTAACAGGTTGTAAATTTCTTATTTTACAATTACTGAAATTGATAGTGCTTTTGGTAGAATTTACGTTGGCGTTCAATTTATATTTACAATATATGCATTTTCTACAATGCTCTGTTATGCTAGACTGTATTATGTGTATATATATTACTGTATTATACAATTGAATTTGGTACACATTCAACGCTGATAGATCCAGTGTTAAACGATTTTCTACGGCTCAAAGAATCCGGAAGTGACTACGGAAGTACTGGCGACGCTCAGCCGGAGACCCCATTTTTCGTGCAAGATGAGGGTGAAAGATAAAGATAAAGGGAAAGAGAGAAAGAGAGGTGCGTGCTTTCGATAGCTGAATAAAAACGTACACTTGACTCTCCTTAACGTTTTTCAAGCCCTGATTCATGTCGTCGGTGATCTCTTTCCAGACGCTGATGCCCAATTTCCTCTTCAGTTCCTGAGAGACCCGGATCTTGTTCGCCAGCACGTGCCTCAGGGTCTGTATCTCTTCCTCGACCTACGACACGTCGGTTCCCTCAGCTTCATCGTGAACAAGTTGAACAATCGAAGCGACTTGAGAATATTTCAATGAAATTCGAATTAAATTTGATGCTTGAGAATCCAAGTTTGGCTCCTTTTAATTTGGATAATTGCTTAATAGATGAGAAGGGGTTCAATTTACGAATTTTGTGTAACGATTATAAAATATTTCTTGCACTTCGAGTATTCTAGGAGGAAGGTGGAATAGTAAACGAGAATAGATTTTATTTATTTGTAAGACGCTAAGAGATTTTTGTTTCGTTCTTGTTTTCAATCGTGAATAGTTACTTTGAATAGTGACCTATGATAGAATTGTTACATGTAGCTTAGAACTAATTTCGTGAAGTGTTAAATATTATTCCATGACGTTTTTTAATTTGTAAAGCGAGAAATAAATTTGCAACATATGTGTACCTGCCTAGTCCTCATCTTCTTCGCAGTAAATTTTTTCAATACAATACAACAGATGCCATTATTGGTATAATGCCATCTATTTCGCGTTAAATCTTTTATGTTTATTATTTTTTTCCACTTAAAGTATAAACGATGGAAGAAATTCAAACGAATTCTTGAGCATAACTCATAACACCATTGAACTTCTATGGTATGTTTAATAAAAATGTATTTATTCACTAGATAATAATAATCAATGTTGTAACCTTTAATATTCACATCGTGAACATCAATTTAAAAAAATTAAGTCCCACGATTTGTTAACGTTAAAAAATGTTCTGCATACGGAAGCAATTTTTCCGGAAATTCTATACAATTTTCCTACTGTAAATCTGAAAAATTTACTGTCATCACCGGAATGAATTTTGAACTTTACCCATTCCCAGAAATTTTCCCATAAATTGAACACACCAAAAATTTAAACTTTCCTTTAGAAAATATTCGAAGTATTTCAATTCCAGAATTAAATCGGCCGGTGTGCTGTATAAATGTACGAAGAATTTTTCGAGCCAAATGGAGCAAGTTCCCTTTCAATTTCGTGCGTTCTCGGAACTTATCACTCGAGTAAATTTCCCGAGGTTTTCATAAATACGAACACAGAGAGAGATATGAATCTGGAGACCGGCGCGAGAGGCCCCTAACGGAGCCGTATATCACCATTCCAGCCGTCAAAGGTTTTCTTTGGAAAGATAAAGCTACGTACTTTCGCGAGTTCCGCGCTCCATTCCGCTTTCTGACGGTCCTGCTCCTCCAAGGTGAGTCCTTGCAACTCGTTCACGACGTTGTCCGACGACGGCGATATATAACCCGACGAGTGAAGGGTGGCGTCTTCTCCTGAAAAATACAGAACGTGTCAGAGAATCTGCGAAAACAGAACATACATTTGGCACGCGATTGAATTAAATGGAGACTGAACGTCAATGATCACTCAAGTTAAGGTATTTCGTGCTGAAACAACATTACAACCATTTCCAAAAAAGGTTTTCTGTCAAAATATAAAATTCTGACGATTTAAACGTTATTCAATTGCAAATTGGCTGAAATATCTTTTACATATTTTGGATTAAATATTGGGAAATTTTCAGGTTTATCTGACTTTGACTGGACACTTAATCCTTTGGGTACGAATTAAAATATTGAATTAAAATTGAATAGGGAAAAAAATCATCATGTGGCGAAGATTGTCGTAAACGAATTATTTTTACGTACCATGTACAGTACAGAAATTGTAATTAAGTGTACAATGCATAATTAATTCTTTACTTTGATCTTTTCTTATATAAAATTATATAAGAAATATCTCCTTTATCTAATTTTTATGCAGATAACATTATTCTATCTGATATATGCGGGTTAATAAAGAAAGTAAGTTCTGATGGCCAACTGATCGACCACACCATTTTCTCAATACTCAATTCAAAATACAAGATAGGAACATAGAATATTGTAATCTGTTAAAAAAAGAGAGAATGGATAGTATGTATGTACCATATTATAATAGATATACCAATAAATAATCCACCATTTTGGGTGGAATAAAACTATAATACCATTTGCATTTAGAATATATTCTAGTCCATTTTTCGTAAAAATTATGAAAAATAATCAACAATGATATATATGGCTGGCGTAGTACAACCTTTTGATTTCCTGAAAAATGTATATAACATTTGGCGGAATATAGTAGACTATTCATTTAGTGCGCCTAAGAAAATATGAAAAAAATAATGAACCTTTCGAACATATGTGTGAAGGCGGCCTCTAATAAACCACTGAGTATCGCATGTATGTGACACTGGTTGTGAAAAGAGAAACATTGTTCTTTATATTTGCATGTATTCTGCATTTTGCAACGAGAAGCAACAAGTTGCACGATATGCATGCTAGAATGAAAAATTAAACCGATTACACTTTTAAATTTATCGATGATCGTGATCTATCGCTAGCACGCCTGCTAGCTTATCGTTACGAAATTGAGAGATTGGTGGACGTAATAGAAGGATTTGTGGATTTATCGATGATATATGTATGTATAGCGAGGGGATTGCGCAAGAAATAGACCGCTTCGATCTAACGGGAATAGATTGTCGTCTTGTCGATCGTATTACACTTGACTCTAACGAGAAACTCGGATTACAAAGTACCGGTACTTTCTTACACTGCCTCTGTTTTCCTAGTTTAAATGGCACGTTCAAATGACAAGAAATAAAAATACTTTTAAATGAAAAAAAAAAGAGAATACTACAAAGAAATTTGTAAGAATATTATAATTATAATTATGCAAGTGCAACTAAAATAACAATTTCCCGTAAAATAATGATGCTCTTCATCATCAAATATTAAAAATTGTTTTGTTTTAAAGAGATATACTGTTCACAATAATTATAGGAATTATGGAAATGGCTTCGATAATTCCTTTTCAAGACGGTGAAATGGACAACGTCCAAAGTTTTGGCTGTCATGATTTTGTACAACACTTTGGTGTGAAAAGGTATCTCACAGTTTGATTATCCATCATATTCGTCTAATTCAGCTACATAAAATTAATTCCTGTTACTCCAATTGGAAACGAAGAAAAAGCTACGACAGTCCAGAATCATTTTGACATTCAGGACTTCGACGAATACTTTCTCCACCATGTTGAAGAAAAATTACCAGAACTATTTCCAGTGTTTGTGTAATTATTATGAACAAGTGGAAACTATTTTCAATAATTGCTGGTAAAAAGCATGAATATGATACGACAAAGTGCTGTTTCGTCTTCAATTCGGAAACTTTCGTGATAAACCGTGTATTTACGAGAGCAAATCCAAAATGGACATAAATATTATAATAAATACACACTACCTACAACAATTTTTTATCGCAGTTAACAGATTGCAGGCACTGCATTTAACGCTTAACCAGCCATGCAAAACACAATAGAACACATTTTTTTTTAAGTAGGTTTAATAAAAGTTCTTCGAGGAAAGAACAAAATTGTATTTAATTCCCAGATTTATGTCATTGTTCTGGAAAGTACAGCTGCACGAACATCCACAAGCTACTAATCAGAAAAAAATGCTGAGTATTACCAGTTAATATTCGATTCTTTGTTAATGCACGTTACGTCTTCCATTGGTCTCGATCGTAAACCCAAACACGCTTCCCTTGCGAACTAAAAAATTTCTATTCTTTCCCGTGAGTATTGTATGAAAAATATTAACTATGAAAAAACAGTGTAAAGCACTTCTTAAATTACTAGTGAAAATCTAATTTTTCGTTTATACTTTATACGATGTATTATTTAAGACGAATTCCGGAAGTCTGCACGGTGAACGAATCCGAGAGAAACAACGCTTCCGGTTCCTGTGAACGACTGCAGAACCATTTTCTATTTCTATATGATTCACATGCCCGATGTGTATAAAACAACGCTTATTTTTAATTGAATTCCGGACAATATATCCGCATTCCTTCGACGTAAAAACATTCGCGCGAAGTGAAAGCGAGGGAGAGCATCGGGTTCACGATAAAAAGCAATACAACCATCGTGTACAGTTCGTACAGACGAAATCTTTGTCCTATAATATTCGCGCCAACACACCAGCCTACTGGTATACTTTCTTTATGGCTGGTGGATACACGAGCGGCTGTTTAAACAAAAAGAAGGAACTACGGTCTGCGTTTAACTGTTTCCACGTCGTCCTCTTAGACGCGAATAAAAGCGAACTTTTTTACCCCGCTGTTCTCGGATTCCCGTCTGTGCACTTGCTCGCATCCTGAACATCAACAGTTTACAGACACCGGAAACTTGGGTGAATTTAGTTAACCGTGGCGGCATTACAAAGAAAAGGAAGAAGAACTCGTTCGATCGAAGGTGTGGAACAGAAGTTGAACTCAAGGAAGAATTTCAGCGATAACCAACAGTTTAACCCTCGTGCACCGTTCGGTTTAATTAAACCCAAATTCAGACTTTAATTTGTTATTGTATATAGATATTCTCTATCAGAGAAACTTTTAAATTAATTTGTTACGAATAGTTTATGTATTGTATAACGATCAAGCGGTATACAGGGGGTCATGTAACTGGTGGTATAACCGAGTAGGGGATGATTCTACGTACAAAAAAGGAAGTGGAGAATATAGAATAAAATGTTTAATTCGGGACTACGTTTTCGAGAAAATTGACTTTAAAAATTACGTAATCTGAAACGCGTGTGTTCGTCGAGGTAGTGAGTAGAAATGGAATACAATGAACAGACACTCTGGTAAGTCGATTTTCTCGAAAACGAAGTCTCAAATTTTATTCTATATTTTCGATTTATTTTTTCATGTAAAATCACTGTCGCCCCGGTCATACCAACAGTTACATGACACCTTGTAGATTTCCTTAATTCGATATTAGCTTAGACCAAGTTTAATTCAAGGAATAGTAATGCAACAATTTATTCAATATTGCACAAGGGTTAAGAGTGAACGTACTAAAGTGTGGAAACAGAAAAAGAGATTGTTCGTTTACAAAGAGTTATTAATAATACATGGTGAATTTCAGAAGTATGAAATATGGTCATTGGCATGATTTCGTTCTAAATGTTCTGTAACCCGTAATTTAATAGTTTTACTAATATTATTGTAATGGATAGACTTTTCAGTTTCTTGTCGTCAATAAATTTGTTATGAAAAAAATGGGTTCCCCTTTGTTTTGTAGCAAAATCAAATTACGAATCCACAGTGAATGATACTTTTGTCTAGAGAAAAGATAAGTAAATAAATAGTTATAGAATTGAAAAAGGGAGACAGTTTAAAACAGAATGTTTTTCATGGATTAAATTTAAATAACATTTATGTGTATGAACACTCGTGTTCATTTGGATTGTTACACTTCCATAATCGTTTCCTGCAGAAACAAATGTTTTCAAAAGATATTTGCACGTTTTCATTCAATGATCTGTGAATTTTATGTGTTCATACAGAACTGTCATATGCCAACATATTAAAAAGACCCAATTTGGCTAAGATTCGTATATTAATAATAAAAATTGTGATCAATTCTTACCCCTACTATTTTTATTCTGTTAGAAGAAGGGTTTAAATTATATTATTATTCCTGTTAGTCTGGCTGTAAACGTCTAAACGAGGGTTGTTTTCTAGGTACTTCAAACTGTATTAGTTGCAAAACACAATTCTTTCTTTGAGGTATATTTACAAATTAGAAAATAATTTATAATTAAATTTGGTCGATTACAGGTTATCAAAAAGTAAATTTTAATTCTTTAAAAAAATATTTCTTACGCCCAGGGTAGTATATCATTCGATCAAACTTCGAATCGAGACAAATATTACTTCATTTATTTTTCATAAACAAAGTAATTACAATATTACTCTTATAAGTTGTGCAAATGAAATCGTGACGAACAGCGGTGAAAATGACACAGCGGAACACTGATACACTTCTCGCTTTCATATTTTGCAATGCCGTCCTACTTATGGTTGTCAGAGCGTACTGGTCCGAATTCGCGCAAGAATGTACCATAATGCGATAAACGAAAATTAGAAACCATAATCCTACCGAGATAGTGGTCTATGAATTAAAAAGTTAATTCGAATCGAAGATTTGTCGAAATAAAAAATTGTCCGATGCAAGGGAATCGCGTGACCGCCAACTCGGTTTCCAACTTGATCATAAATATCCCAATTACGTAACGCGTGCATAAATTCGACCATGGAAAATCTGATAGACGGAATTTATAGATCTGTCGAGCGACGTAAGCTTTACGATGTAGTACGATTGGAATAACCTAAGCAACGATTGTAAGTCTGGTTTTATCAAGTGTAAGAGAATTTACGGACAGCGCCAGAAAAAGATTATGTATATCAATCTGCTCTATAATAACTCAATTTTCAACTGAAAAACAATCTGATTTAAATAATTACCATCTTTTAGTGTATGTGCAACGCCGAACTAGTGAAAAAACTGGCAAGATGTTGCATATCAGTCTGTATACAAAGCGGAGAAACGTTTATCTTGAAATCGAAAAAATAATTCCACGTACCAAAACAGATAAAAATATGTAGAATAAGAGTTTTTTCATATCTGGTTTTCGAAGAAATCTAACTCGAACGATCGACAAACACAAGTGCTTTTTAGTACGAGTGATAACACGTCTGACTATTATTTACTATTTCTACTTATACCAAACGCTGATAATTAAACTACAGAACTTTATACAAAATAACATTTTTCGAAGTGATTTGTAAGGGTAGATGTGAAGACTGAATTTTCTTCCATTTCTTAAGAATTTTGTTACGAGAAGAATAAGACAGAAAATGTATTAGATCTGATTTTAGCTTGACTAATTATCATATTTCACATAATCACATATGTTATAAATGCGTATAATCCGCAGTCTACTGATGATTATACTGCGGATTTTATGATTGATATTACGATGAATATTAAATATTAATAGCATGTCTGAATTTACAAAACTCAGTATGTAAAGCAAGGACTTCAAGAATATTTATAAAATCATTCACTTATTTCGAACCCAATAGAACCATCCGTGAAAAAAATCCGCTTTTTTATCACTGGCGATCTATCGTTGACTGTATTGCCTGCTTTTCCACAGATATCATTATTTACTACAAGTACTAAGGAACTACGTAATACTATATGAAGTAGAAATAACCTGTAATGAGCAGATTATGGAAAGCATAGCAATAAATTTTCGAAACAATTTCAAATCGAGAGAAATTCGACCCCATTTCGAATGAACTATTACGGGTAAAATCACCTAATTTATAACCAATAATACCACCCAAAATTATACCTCGTATTTTCAACCTTAGGGTGAAATACAATTGTTAAACAAAGTACTTGCACAGTCAGCTTTTGTATATAAGAATAAGAAAACACATTATTCGAACGCTTTCCGTAAGTCAATGCAAAATTAAGTAATGAAAATTTTAACCACACACTTTAAGGGGCCATAAAACTACTTTTATCAATTGATTATGTGCAAATATTTCTTTCCCCCAGTTCGCAGATTGTGCCACAAATTTCAGTCTTCTCAGCGAAATAAGTATAATTGTTAAGCATAGTATCTACACACTCAAGTCTCATATGATAGCCATGAACAATATTACAGAGTACATTACTTGAAAGCTTTCCTTGAACAAAGTACAGTGAGGTAGGTCAATGAAATTCTGATAACACACTCCAGAAGTGAATGAAATTACTTTTACAAAACGGTCGAGTGCAAATACTTTTTCCATCCACAGCAAACATCGTCCCCCTTATACCAGAACCATGAATGTGAAAATATTCACTTTCTAATTAAAGGTATGTGATAAATTGTATACGTTGCATAAGAATAGTGAAAAATTATTTTACAGTTACACTTAAATCTGACGTAGAAACTGATATCCGGAAGAAAATTACAAAAATTTCGATCTTCAGAATTATACAGTAGAACGCCGATTATCTTAACTATACAGGATGGAGCAGGTAACTGGAACCACTTCTATACTGTGCAACTAGTGATTTTAGTAAATCTTGTTTCAGATAAATGTTATATAGTATCGAGGAGACATAATTTGACGAGATTATTTTTTTTTGTAAGAGAATGCGTAGAAGACATACGAAAGTTAAGTTTGTTTTTTAATTGGAATCATATTTTTTATTACGTTAGTCGATCCAGCATGTAATTACTTTAACTTCAATTATTCGAAGTGGCATACGTGGAACCACTACGATAGAAAATTATGCACTTCGAATAATTGAAATTAAACTACCTCCTAAATTAATGGCTTTTTATATGAACAGTTTAGGACTTTTTTATGCAGAATTATGAGCTGCATCGACTAATGCAGTAAAAAATATATAATTCACTTTAAAAAAACAAACTTGACCTTCATATGTCCCCTATGCATCCTTCTACAAAAAAAACTAATCAAATTATGGCCCCCTCAAAATCATAACTTTTATCTGAAACATTTTTCACAAAAATCACTAGTTACGCAGTATTGCAGTGGTTTCAGTTACGTGTTTCACCCTATATAATAGGGAGACAAATCTGTTCGGATGAGTGGTTTTTCAAACAAGCGTTTCAGGGGAACCAAAATTTTAGTACATATCATAAGACGATTATAAATAAATCAATTTTGAAATATGAATGCTTATGATGCGTGAGAAGATCGCGTAGTAACACGCATAAACATTGAAACGGTACTTAACGACCATTTCAACAAGAATGGATCAAGTGATCTCATCGTTCCCTACAATTTTATATCTTAAATCATCTTTAGGTATTTAAAATCCAGTACATTGTATTGTCAATTAAATCGTTGCATAATTTGGTGCACATTTGTTTAAGAGTAACGAATGGTACGTATTTCTGAGCTTTTGTAAAACTAATTTGTTCAGAAAACATTTGCAACTCGTTCTATGTTCTAGTAATCGGTATTTAAGATGATCGACATTCGGATAATCAGTGTTCTACTGTGAATTTTATATTCAATTGTGAGTACCCAGAATTGATCGAATCACACACACATTCGTGATTCGAGCGTAAGGGTGACGACACACCACGGACCCATTTCAACATCCTCGAGCACCACACCATGCACCTTTTACCAATTCGAGGAACTTCTTATAATTCTGGCTGTTGCTGATTTTCGCGAGATACGGCTTCGAGAAATCCTGGAATATCACACGAACGGACTTCCGTTTCTTCCGTCCCCGTCCTCTGGCCCCGTCCTCCTGTTCCATCGTCAAGAACTGCGTCTCCACGGACAGGTTCGCATCGTCCACCACGATCTCGTCGATGTCCCCATTCGAGTCCCTCCAACAATGAACAACCAACTCGTCCGCGTCGTCACTCAGCTCGTCGACATCGTCAAAACTGGGAGTCGCCGTTAAATTTAAATAATAAGCGTCCTCCTCGTACTCCAACGACTCAAATTCATGTTCATTCTCACTCTGATGTCTCGACGATCCAAATCGATCGTCGATTTTATCCTTCTCCTGCTTGACATCAGGCATGTTCGTTTTCATGCTACTAGACTTGGTTAGTTCCTTCGACCTTGGTCCCCTTTTTGGACGTGTAATTCAGAAGGAATGTAACTCAACAATCGCGAACGTTCTCGATCGTGAAAGTTTGGACTCGAAACGAACATCCATCTGGTGTTCCTTCAACCGAATTCTCGTGATCGATCTTTGGAACTGCATCACGAGACAGAAGGTCTTGTCACAGTGTCTTGTGCTGTACTTGGATTATCGGTATGTTCTGCATAGTAGTCCCGAGAAAGGCACTTCTATCTTACCGTTTTGTTTACCAGTTGTTAAGCCCCACTTTCCGTCTCGAGCACCGTGAAAATGAGTTCTGGCGAAAGAACCGTATGCTGTGCACCGTCTCGATGATAAAAGGACTACGAGGAATGCTAAGATCTTCGCGATCTAAACGTTGTTTTCCTATCCGAAAGGTCACTGTCAGTTTCTATGCACCGATCACTTGCTTCACTTGGATGAGCGTGGTTAAATGTTTATGTCATCACGAGTGTAAACAGACACGACGCTACCGATCACAGTATTTTATTGAGGAGATCGTTCGCGATTCCAAGGAGAAATCGTTTGATCCGAGGTTGGGATTAACGATTCGCGATGACTCGCGGCTGACCACGTGCATCGATCGTCCCGTGCAGACGACGATCACAGCTGGCACGATCGCTCGCCGCTTTTTCCGACGCGAGATCGAGAGACGGTTTACGATCTTCGCCGTGGCGCGACGCCAGCGTCGCGGGCCGCCACGTATCCAAGAAGGAAAGAAATCGCGGCCAGCTTGCTTCTTACTCCTTCGTGACGAAGGTGAAAGGGGAAGGGGCCTTACGGCCCCCCACCCCACCAGTTTACCCGTCTTACGCCCGTTCTTTGCCAAGCTACCGATCGATCAAAAATTCACTTTTCTTGTGTATGAATTTCGAGATTAGTACTAGAACTATTAAAGCAGTCAGAATGACTGGTTCGTAAAATCTTGTCAAAATTCTAAAATGTTACAGTAATGTATTTTAGGAGATACTTCGCCACTTTTATTATAACATATGTATATGTATAAGTGAAGAAGTTTGTTAATTTTTAACAAGGTGTACCTTTCACCAACCTGATTGAAATTGAAATACGTTCATCTTCGGTAGATCTAGTGTTAAGTCCTTTCCTATATTTTTTTAAATCATTTGGCGGATGGTATTAGTAGACACAAATGTGTTAACTGAGTCGCTTTTTTGAAGCTGTGTAAGTTCAGTTTTGTTTATTTCGAAATACGTAATTTTTTGCATTTTATCTGATTTAAAAATATTGTTAAACACTAATAAGCTTGTGTTTTATACTTTGCAGATTTCAGACATGTTTAATTTTATTATGTGACCATTTTTATAAATATAATGTAAGTAAAACCGTGTTTGTTTTCATCGCGAATGAATTTATACGAGTTCAAAAAAACATTTATGCAATTCCGTTTTACAGCCAAACTTCGTTTGACTAATTCATGAGAATATTGTACTGTGTGGACTTAGTTATTACAAATATAAAAAGAAAACATCCATCTGTAGTTGAAACTAGCTTTAAATCATTTTTTTCAAAATTGGATTTACACCATTTTCGAAAAGAGCTACTTAATTAATTCGTTAGACTAACCTGTTGCATTGTGAGAACAATTATTGACTCCAAGACGTTTTTGGTAGCGTCTTTAAAAAAATGGTTGATGTTGAGAAACATTTATAAATTCCATCGTTTTTACTTTATTTATTTCACTTAATCTATTTGCGTTGCGATAAATAAAATGTATTATATAATACAAAAATGGTTATAGGAAGATTTTAAAAATATTCTAAACTAATTGTTTTTTCCTTCTTGGTCTTTCTTTATATACCATAAAAAACTTTGTTTCTGTACTTTCGAATATCCCACATGAATGACTCACTGTTATATTTCAAGGCTTCGGAAAGCAAATGTAACGTGGCTGCACAATACGTGCGTCAGAATCAAACAGATAAAAATATTCATTTTTATTTCATTACTCCAAAATACATGTACTACATTTAGTTCATGTAGATTAGATACTACATACATAAAGCGAAGTACATTTCATTAGTTTGTATAAAAACTTAACAACGATAACACAGATTCTTCCAAAAATTCTTTTAAACGATCATCCTTAGTAAGAATTTTCAATTAACAAAACATTATACTGAAAACCTTTCAATTTTCTGATCCAATATAAAAGTGTATTTCACCTTATATAATTATATATCATACTATCAAATTCATGGATACTATAATGAAAAAATTTTTCTAACTTCCCCAGGAAAGCTTCCTATTTCTCTTATTTGTTTTTCTATACGTTCATAAGCTTTTTCCATGTACATTCACTGACGAAATTTTTTAAATAACTATCCCTTCGTTTACCACACTCTATGAGCGTTGTATCATCTTATTTAAGATGTAGAAGCCATTAATTTTATATTACAGCCAAAAAGATTCTCCTCTTACAATCGATACTTCCTCCTTTGTTCACAAAAAACAACAGACATTCTCAACTCAAATGAAGAATCATTTCTAGAAGCCACTAAGAAACGATCGGTACATAGCTCAAGTGGTACGAATTAAATCGCCACATTACCATAAGTGAGCAAAAAATATTCACGAAGTTTCATGTATAAAAATGAATTCCCTCGGAATGGCAGGTAGTCACGAGAAAAATCTATCTTCTGCCATTTTCTCTTCATTTTTGCATATACGCGTGTCAACAACGGTTACACACCATCGTTCATTACCGAGGAGCGCGCCTGCATGTTTCCACGAAAAATCGTGATCCACCGAGCCGGCACTTTCCGTTTCTTCAGGAAGAAATCGCGTGCAACGGTGTAACAAAGGTTGCGGTCTCTGATATTGTGCGTCGGTAATTCGCTGATAACGACTTCCCGTCTCAACTCCCTTCGTCACGCAACGTTGCATAACACGGTGGTATATCTATACGAATTCGATTCCTGATGGAAGGTGAAACGGGAGAGCCATGTGTCCGACTATTAATTAATCATTGTGTGAACGTGGCTTCGTGATAGCACGAGCCGGCCTTCCCTAATTTTATCGTGACTTTCGACGAGTTCGATGAGCGTTTCATTTTTTTTTATTTAAATTTTTGTTATTGTAGACCTTGTTGGGTGCAAATAAAAATATTCATTTTTATTTCGTTACTCCAGAAAACATTTATTACATTTCGTTCATGTGGATTACATATTACATACATAAGACGAGATACGTAGTTACGAAGTGTTTAGATATGTATGTACATGTTTTATACGGTTACTCCTCGATAAAGAATGGAGATTCTGAAACTGTACTTTGTTGGTACGCTCTACTGACCCGTAATCTAGGGTTTTTCTATAGTGGCACAGTGGTGCAGAATCAAAATTTAGCAGCTCATACGATTATTTCGTTCAAGCAATCGAAAATTTGGAAACTTATAATTTTTTTTCAAATGCAAGTAGATAAATGAAGAAATTTTTAATCATTTTGAGGGCTGCTCTTTATGAAAGTCAGAACATTTTTAGGAAGTTTTTTCTAGTGTTTTCTTACTGAGATTAGAAATATGAAAAGGTCTAAGGCCTAAGGAGAACAATAACACATAGAAAAAGCTTCCATGGTTAATAATAAGTTGAGTTTTTTGCAAGATACAAGAATTTTGTTTTCGACCATTTGAGCTGCTCAATTTTAATATTAAACCATTGAGTAACGATTGTAATTTTCGGTTTTGTGTTTAGCAGTTTAATTTTGTATTATTTAAATAATTGGGATAATTTCTGTGCAGAAACTAGTTGGCCTGAGTATTTGGCGAATTTAAAAAAACTGAACCTATTGGAACTACTAAGGTGGGTTCTATTTACTTTTAAGTTTAACAGTATAATTCATACATTCGTTCTGACACTCTCATTCATAGCTTATTTACAAACTATGCAATCTATGTATACACTTACATTCATCCATCCACTGTCCTTTCAGTCTCGCATTGACATTTGTAGAAAAATTAATTTTGTATGAAACATTGGTTCATTATTTTTCAGGTTCCGTTTGCTTGCAGGTGTGTGACTCGCGAACACTGATTAAATCTCTTTTGTTTCTATCGATTTGCCCACGGTTGGTGAGAGCACGAGCACTTTTTGGACGCAGTTTTTTTAACTCTACACTTTAAGTAATGTTCTGGCGTGGAATGCACGTTTCACGTGCCAGACAAAATGGAGATTTATCGGTGGGCAAACGATGGATCGAGAGTGAAGAAAGAACCAAAAGAATTGTCTGTCTGTTCCCGATGAAAGATTTCTCTGGATGAGAATGACGGAACGGAATCCTTGATGGTTCGTTGACCCACCGCCGACTTTTCGGTTACTTGTTTCGATACAAAAAGACGAGTGAAATGTGGCATTAGCGCTCGTACATCACGGAAGAATTATATTATCGACCATTCTCAGAACTGGTTCGAATTTTACCGACGTTATTTCCGATCAGAATTCTATCAGATCATCCAACAAGTTCGAATTTTATACCGAAGTTTGGATCAATGTTTCAAACATGACTTCCAGTTTTATGAAAAAAAGAAAATTAGTCAAGTTCGTACTATGATGTGTTTATACTGCTTTTCACGACTAGGACTATTGAATACATAGAAGGAAAGTGATTTTTTATCGTCACAATGCGAGACCTCGTATGGGAAATATTTAAAAAAATTACGTGTATTTTCTTAGAAAATTTTGTTACACTCACTTTATTTTTCGGACATTACACCATCGATTTATTTCAGGGATTATGACACTTTTTAGTTGATGAGAAAGTGTCAACGAACTAAAGAACAGCACTGAACGATATTTTCATTAAAAATCAAAGAAGTTTCATAACGATAGCAAAGAACTGCACAGAAAAAATGGCAAGAAGTTGTGGAAGAAAAGGCGATTACGTTTTGTTCATAAAGTTTTCGATAAAGAGTGTCCATATAGAAATCGGCACGA